GTTTTCAATTTCTTGAAATAGAATGATTAATCGAATGAATTAATAGAATGAAACTGTTTAAATCTTTCAAAGAACAACGAATTTATTTGAATGCTACAATTAACTAAGCAAACAAATAAAAACTACTAATGTTAGTGGATGAATATAAAATGCGTTGAGCATTACGAAAAATTGGGAATGACTCAGTTTAATGCTATAAGGGAACCAATTTTAATGCTTTTACCTTTACATTTGCCGTAACTGGTCTCGATAATAATTCGTCGGATTTTAAAAACGTTTTCTTATGCTGAATATTTATTTTACAATCCTTAATATATGTTCTAACAACATAATTTATAACACTAGGGAAATCCTTGAAGAATATTTGGAATAAATGTTTGCTATATTTTCGTAGTTCCCAATCAATTCCGTCAGAAATTATTTTTTATTTTTCATGTTATAAATTTATTTAAAAATATTTTCAAAGTATTCGTAAGGCATTTTTATGGTTTTTTATAACTGTTACACACTTAGCAATTTTTTCATTTAACACTGTATATAAACTGAACTCTATAATAAAAGGTTTCAAAAATTATCAGCTTAAACCAGTCATACATACTAGTCCCACTAGTCATAAACATAGCCAACTTTGAAAAAACATTAATTAAATACTTTCTATTTCCACGAAACAAAATTAAATTTATAATTAATTTACTCGCATAAATTATAAATAAAAATTATGATATAAATAAATTTTTCGAAAGTAATGGGGAATATTTTTTACTTTAAATTTTCGTACCCGGATTTAATTATCTTTCCCGTTGAATTTATAGACTTAAAATACGCATACGCATACGAATAAATAAATCCTTAATCTGATAAAAATTGAAACATTTTAAACAACAAATTGCAAGTTAACAAAAATACTATATTTTAAAAAGAGAAAATGTGAGCAGAAATAAAAAGTTAGGACATGATAAACGGCAATTATTATTACTAAATGGTTTAAGTATAATACCAACCTCGTGGTAATTCTGTTAAACAAAGACTTATAGAATTTATCTGAATTTACATAATTATTAAGGGAGTGTGTCTCTACATTGTACGTAGCAGGAAGTGAATGGAATCCCTGTATGTTGACACTATGTATATGAAGTGAGATTTATGATAATTGAGAAAAACGGATGTTTATGGCAGAATAATGCATATGATAATGTTTATTTAAACTAATTATAGTTTAAAGTTTTAAGTAGAACCTTTAAAAGAATTTATTACTTAAGTTGGATAAATTCATGAAAATTTCCTTTCATGAAATAAATTAAAGACTATACTAAAAGTAACTTTGAAAAAAAACTTCACAGTTATAAAATAGAGAGATTAGTTAGTCTAGGAATTAGACACAAATATTCTTTTTTACACAATCGCTAACTGTATACTGAATATTTTTAAAGAATTGTAAGCACGTGAAATGCAAAAGATTTTTCTTAAACTTTTAAGTTAACTTTATTTTTAATTTTAATGAAATATGAAAGATATTGCATAGCTCCCCAAGTTTAAACTTGAATTTTAAAACTATTTCAAATTTAAACGTGTGAATTAAATCAAATTCAGTAAAAAATATGCTGCATATCAATTCGTTTAAACAATGATGATACTGCAGATCCGCAAATTAACCAGGGTAATACATTAAAATGCGGAATCAAGTGTTTTCCGCAATTTACCTAGGGAGTGTATGCATAAACGGTTTGTATTATAGTTTAACGGTTATCCATTAACGGTTTGTATTCCAGTTTTTAAAGTGATTGATGGTTGATTCTACCGACAGGGGAGTTGATCTTGATTGTAGCAATTTGATTTTTTTTTAAATAAGGAAAAGTAAATAAATAGTTTTATGTTAATTTTAGCCTACAAAACCCCTGTCGCTGCTCCAAAAACGATCTTATTTTCATTTTAACAAGTTCCTATTAAGTAATATGTAAACTACTAGGATAGTTTGGGAAATGTGACTATTTTTCACCTTAGTAAACTTGTACATTAACTGAAAATGATCAGTAAAATAACTGACTTCTGCACTTTAGAGGTAATTGTTGTTGTCGTCGTAGGCCATCAAGACAAGAGGAGCCATTGTTCTTGTTCTCCAGTGGCGCCATCTATGGCCAAGAATTTGAGTTCTGTCACACCCATACATCACACTCGTTTATAGAGCGGACCCATTATTCATACATCCATTCATAAAGAGATCGTAATTTTGACCAGAACCAGAGAACGATCAATCTCCTGTGCAGTAGCCCCCAGAGGTATAATTTATTCTGGAAACATGGAGGACTTTACGACCTGACAGATTTAACGTTTACCTGTCACCATTTAATACACGGGGAGTCTTCGGCCCGTTGGATTCGAATCCCCGTTCTCATGAATCCAGTGCCCTGCCAATCAGACTATCCCGGCCCTTCAGAGGTAATTATAACACTGCTGTCAAAATTGAGTTGGAACCAGATTCCAAAAATAGTATTTTCCATTAATATTTAAAGGAAAACCTAAAATGAAAATATATATTTACTTTGTCCAACAGTTTTGTGCTAGGAATTCTTTATAAGTCATGGTGTCCCATTCATCTGCATGCGGTGCATTCCATGGAGCTTCTGCTGGTATCTAAAGCAATAAAATAAAACTATTTATTTCCACTGAAAAAAATTTTTTTATTACTTTACGAGTCTGTATTCATTTGTTTTTTATAGGATGACAAGAAAGAACTAAACAAAGTTTAAAACCAACTATTTGTATTGTAACATGTCGTAGTCATTTTTTTTTGGGGGGGGGGTCTAAAAAGTTTGTTGGAAACCAAAAAAAAATAAACTTCCAACTTGATTGTGCTCTAGCTCACTAAGCTAAATACATTAAGGAATGATACAAAGTACACTTTCTTATTTTACTTATACCGTCACATAAGTTCTTAAGAAAATCGTTCTTCTGTATGAAGTGTATTTCAGCACACAGAGTTAAAGACACTCAATAGTAGTGCATACCACACTTTCTGGACTTGAGGCGTTACGTTGTGGAGAAAAGATTCTGGTAAAATAACTGTTATTCTAGTAAAAGGAACTATAATTTTGGCAATAAAAACCAAATCATATGAAACCATTCATTTGGTAATTTTTTCTATTTGTATGGTAACAATTTAGTGGAAATTCTGGTTTTCAATTTCTAAAATATATATTAATATATATTAATAATATCATTATAATATTATATTAAGCAATCGTATTGTTATATTAAGCACTTGTAATTAATTTATTTTTCTTAATAAAGGGCACTTCCACGTTTAAATTTCATTATAAAAATAAAAAATGAAACTTAATGGAAAACTTAACTCATTTTCCTCAAAATTATTATAAGTAAATTAATAAAAATATTTTGATTAATTTTATTGAATTTATTAATCAATAGTAAATTATTAAAGTTAGATAGCTAACTAAAATTTAACAAACTACTAATAAGTATTCAAATAAATTCAATTTATTTTAATCAATTCCCCTTTATTCTAGAAAGGAATACAATAAGACTTACTTCTTCGCCCATTTTGTCCATTAGATAAAAAATATTGTTAATGTCCATATTAACAAAAGGGTTGAAACGTTTAGGATCTGCATTTGGTCGAAAACGAATTCTTGTTCCCTAGTAAGTAAAAAAAAGTGAAGTAAAAGCATTATATTAAGATTAACAGTCATCTTTAATAAGAAATGGTATCTTACATTTTTGTAATGCAACAAATCTTCAATTTCGTTAACTTTATAATTTTCTATTCCGAACTCTTTAGCCATTCGAAGCAAACGATCTTGAGTTGGCCCGACATAAGCACCACCAATGTCCACATAATTCACTTTAGGATCCTAAAATAATTTAAACAATTTAAAAATACTTATTTATCAGATATTACTAAATTAGTAATTCGTAATAGGAATGGAAAAAATTCCTAAACGTACTTCAAGCAATTAAGTTCGCAAGTAAATTTTTTGAAACATAGTTAAGAATGATTTTTAAATTCTTATTTTAATTTAAGTTGTAATAAAGAAAACACACCATTCAAACAAGGCTAAATCCCCTTTTTCAGTGCTCCATCTTTCAGCGGCCATGGTTGGAGCACCGCTTAATTTTGTCCCCAGTCTGATGACGTGAACAGAACCTGAACTACTCTTCCTATTTCCAAACTCCTACACAACAGTAAAAAAGAAGACTTTCAGCCATGACAGATTTAACGTGCACATAGCTGAATATAGAAGCCTTTGTGATGAGAAAATAAGCAAATATTTTTTTTAATGGCGGGCAGTTGGGATGTATTGTCCCATTGGCCTCATATGCCAGGACTGCTACTCTCTTCTCATTACTCAGTGGGCACCTGTGGAAAAGCCACAACGGTGGAGCAGCGTCCCCCACGTCACACAACCACAAACCCGTTTATAGGGCGGGTAACATTCGCACAAAGGAGAAAGGACATAGAACAGAGACAGAGAGAAAGAAACATCCATGCCCTGAGCTGGATTCGA